ATAGATTCTTATTCAAGATTAGAGCTATCAATCTGGTTTCATTCTTCTATGTGTGGATATCATTTTCCCACCATCACTTGTATAGGGGTTATCTTTTCTCCAGTGTATATTAATGATTTGTCAAAATTAGGTGTCTATAACCATCAGAGCTTATTTCTAGGTCCTCTATTCTGTTCTATTGGTTTACATGTCAAAAACAGCATTAAACCCTCCTATTCCTGAGACTTCCTGGTACCCCACTATCTTAAAACTTAGTCTTGATCAAGATCCTTTCCTGCCTTGGATATGTGTTCCTCTCCAGTCTTGGCAGGAAGTCAACAACCTTATCATACTATTTCCTGAGAATGACAATTTAGTGGATACACAAGACAATGATTTCAAAATAATAATTGTAAATATGTTCAATAAGCTCAAGAAGGATATGAATAAAAAACTGAATAAAAAAACATGAAATTAGAATTCAGTAAGGAGACAGAATCTCTGAAAAAAGCCAAACTGAAATAAAAAGTGAAATAAAAAACTCAGCAACTAAAATAAAAAGTTTAGAGGTAAGAAATAAATAAGAAGTGGAAGAAATAGAACAAAGAATATCAGATCTTGAAGGCAAGCTTGGGCAGCTGTCTTTTCAATGGAAACTATGAAAGCCAGAAGGGCATGGACCAATGTCTTAAAGTCATAAATAACAGATTTCTGTCCAGACTACTATATCCAGCAAAACTATCCATAATAATTGGAAAGAGAAAGAACAAACTTACCATGATAAAAACAACTTTAAGGAATTTATGTCCACAAAACGAGTGCTACAGAGACTACTCAGTGAAATACTTTGATCAGAAGAGAAGATTAAACACCAATTCTCCCAGAATAGTCAACAAAACAGGTCTAAGAAAACAACATTATAACACCAACATAACAGGAATTAGTAAACATTGGTCAATTATAACCCTCAATATTAATGACTTCAACTCACCAATAAAAAGATACAAGTTAACTGATTGGATTCGAAAAAAGGATCCATCAATTTGCTGCCTCCAAGAAATGTACCTCACCAATAATGATTGATACCACCTTAGGGCAAAAGAATACAAAAAGTATTATAAGCAAACAGAACTAAGAAACAAGCAGGTATAGCTAGTCTAATATCTGACAAAGTAGACTTCAAACTAAAACTAGTCAGAAAAGAGAGGGAAAGTCACTTTGTATTCATTAAAGAAACATCCACCAAGAAGATATTATGGTTCTAAACATCTGTGTACCACACACAGAGGCACCTGATTTTATAAAAGAAATTTTGTTAATTCTAAAATTTCACATTGACTCCAACATAGTAATAGTGGGTGTAGACAGGTCAATTAGAAAAAAAACTAAATAGAGAAACCCTGATGTTAAATGACACCATAAATCAAATAGACCTTAGAGACATCTACAGAATATTTCACCCAAACACCAAGGAATACATTTTCTTCTCCACAGCCCATGGAACTTTCCCCCATTTTGATTGCATATTAGGACACAAAGCAACTCTCCACAAATTAAAAAAAAATTGAAATACCATCCTGTATTCTATCCAACCACAAAGGGAAAAAAAGCTAGATATCAACAACAACAAAAATGGGAAAACACACACAAATTCATGGAAGCTAGGAAATACACTACTGGATAAAAATTGGGTCACAGGAGAAATGAGGAAGGAAATTTTTAAAATCTTAGAATGAAAATCTTTAAAATTGAATGAAAGTGAAAGCACAACACACCAAAATGTTGGGACACAAACTAGATGGCAGCATGCAGAAGACTAAAAGTAGATCCCTGTCTCTCACCATGCACAAAACACAAACCAAATAGATCAAGGACCTCAGCTAAGACCCAATACCCCAAATCAGATAGAGGAGAAAGTAGGGAATACATTGCAAACTCTAGGTACAGGAAAGGACTTTCTGGAAAGGACTCCTATAACTCAAGCATTAGTTCAACAACAAAGGAGACCAGAAGAAACTAAAAAGCTTCTGTATAGGAAAGAACATTATAATTCAAAAAGAGACAACTTACAGAATGGGAAAGGCTCTTTACCAGCTAGACCTCTGACAGAGAGTTAGTGTCTAGAATATATAAAGAACTCAAAAAACACTAAACACCAAAAACTCAACCCAATTTTAAAAATGGGGAAAGGAACTGAACAGGAAATTCTCTAAGGATGAAACACAAATGGCTGAGAAATAAGTTTTTAAAAATGTTCAACATCTGTAGTCATCACAAAAATGCAAATTAAAATCACTTTGAGATATCATCTTACCCCACTCAGAATGGCTAAGATATTAAAAAACAAACAAGAACCAGTGCTGGTGAGGATGTGGAGAAAGGGGAACTCTTACCACTGTTGGTGGGTATGCAAACTGATTCAGCCACTATAAAAATCAGTACGGAGAGTCTTCAAAAGGTAGATATTAAAAAACAAACAAGAACCAGTGCTGGTGAGGATGTGGAGAAAGGAGAACTCTTACCACTGTTGGTGGGTATTCAAACTGATTCAGCCACTATAAAAATCAGTACAGAGAGTCTTCAAAAGACTAGAAATTGATCTCCCATGTAATCCAGCCATACCACTCTTGGGTGTATATCCAAAAGACTCTACATTTACTATAGAAATGCCTGTTCATTCATGTTCACTCCTGCCTTTTTCATAATACCCAGGAATTGGAAACAACCTAGATGTTCATCAACTATGTATATACATTGTGTACATATACACAATGGAATATTACTCAGCTTAAAAAAAAACAAAATTATGAAATTTGCAGATTCAGGTATCTCTAAACTCTTAACAGAGAAGCTTCCTTATGCAGCAGTGACTAGCACAGACACCCACAACTAGCCAATGCACAGAGCACAAGAGGCTGCAGAGTACTTATCCCCAAATAGGACACGTATATCAAACTTCTGCCTCCCAAGGCTCAAGGATCACTGTGGAAGAGGGGGCAGAAATATTGTTAAGAACCGGAGTGATGGAAAATCACAAGGAAATATAGTTTTCCAGACAGCTGGTCAGTTACTCATAGACACTCATAGCAATGGTGACAGCATGTACAGGTTCCAGGCAAGCTCAAACCAGACAAAAATCTCAGGATAGACATGGAAAAGTGGGTAAGAAATCCCAACCCTACCTGAGGAATTATTGGAAACCAGTGGCTGCTGGGAAGGGTGAGTCTTGGTAGGTTAATCAGGCTTCAGTGAATGGATCCACACTAAAGTACATTTGGGGACACAAATTAGACTCTATGGGCTATATATCCCATATGTATATATAGGATACACATATATGTATATATGGGAAACATATATATATATGTAGTGGTGGTTTGAATGGAAATGTCCCCCATAGGCTTCAAGTGTTTGGATATTTTGTCCCCAGAGGATGGTACTGTTTTGGGAGGTTTTAGAAGGCGTGGCTATCCTGGAGGAAGCACGTCACTGGGGGTGGGTTTAGAGAGTTCTTAAGCCTTGCCAGATCTCCAGTCAAGTCACTCTCTTGCTTCCTCCATGATGATATGAGAGCTTAGCTTCTGCTGCTCCTGCTCCAGCACCTCCAGGCACCATGCCTCCCTGCCATGATGGACTGTAATTCCCCCGGAACTGTAAGCTTAAATAAACTCTTCCTTCTATTAGCTGCTTGGGTCAGTGTTTCTATCACAGCAACAGAAAAGTGACTAATACATATGTGTAATAGAGTACATTAAATTGGGCAAGGAGAGTAAGCGGAGGTGCAGATAGGAGAGGGGCATCCAAGTACCTCACCAGGTGTAATTTGAAAATAGACTAATTTGAAACATAATATTTGAACATAGATTACAGTGTGGCTACTCCACACAACACAAGCTAACTCAGTCAGTGGTAGAAAGCAAGGTATGACATGCAGCCCCCGCTCTTATTTCTCTCATGAAATACTAACTCCAGTTTTAACTTCTAGTTTAACAATATCTTATGTTGGAACTATTACTAATTAAGCTTTAAAAAAACTTGTTTTTTTTGTTTTTGGTCTTTTAAGACAGGGTCTCCCTGTAGCCCCAGCTGGCCTGGAACTCACTATGTAGACTGGGCTGGCCTTGAACTCACAGAGATCCGCCTGCCTCTGCCTCCTAAGCACTGGGATGAAAGGTGTGTGCCACCACACCTGGCTTAAACTTCTAAATGGCATAAATGAAGGCTATCCATTTCAACTTTTGAAGATAACTTTCTTTCTTTCCAGGTACAGTAAGGAACAAACATTAAAAATTGGCTTTGACCCAAAACAATGGTTATTCTTCCACAGCAAGGCTCAGTGAAACACAATGAGGAAATCTGGGTCAGACCAGCCACACAAGTTCCTCAAACAAATCAGAGCCCAATATCTCGCTCCATTTATTCCGGAGTCAGTTCCTACCTCGGTTCTCCACACTCTATTTACTCTCTTCCCGTGAGATTTCCTTGGAATGTATGTGTTTGTCACAGGGCATTGGTGATTTAAACCACTGTACAATTATAGTTCCTTGGAGCATGTTTGAAATGACTGAGATTCATACAGCTTCTCAGTCAATCCTCTGCCGCACTTAAACGACTCTCAGTGCTTTGCAGTTCGAACAACTGGTAGCCAGGGATCCTTTGGTTGTTATGCAGATCCTCAGTCAGAAGTAGAGCCACACACATACATAAAGGACTAATTGATGTTATTCATCTTTATTTCCTGTCCACAGCAGTGAAGTCTTTCCCCACATCACCACTAGGAACTTTACACAAATTATTTTACACTATTGAGAACATATTTCTTTAACAATATCACCTGTGCTAGGTTGAAGTAGATTTGCCTCAGTGTCCTGGGGCTTTCCGTAGGAACTTGATCCAAATAGGCTGCTTAATTTCAATTGAAAAACAACACAGACTTCTCCTCCGGACTCCTTGGCAGTCTGTTGGTGAGAGATCTCTGTCGTCCTCCCTTTGCTTCCTCCGTTTCCGCCAACCTCTTTAAGGACCAAATATGCTGAGTGCATCTCCATCCACTTTGGCCAGGCTGGTGTTCAGATCGGAAACGCCTGCTGGGAGCTCTACTGCCTGGAACATGGCATCCAGCCTGATGGCCAGATGCCAAGTGAAAAGACCATTTGGGGAGGAGATGACTCCTTCAACACCTTCTTCAGTGACACAGGTGCTGGCAAGCATGTGCCCAGGGCAGTGTTTGTAGACCTGGAACCTACGGTAATTGATGAAGTTTGCACTGGTACCTACCGCCAGCTCTTTCACCCTGAGCAGCTCATCACAGGCAAGGAAGATGCTGCCAATAACTATGGCCGTGGGCAGGACACCATTGGCAAGGAGATCATTGACCTTGTCTTGGACCAAATTGGCAAGCCTGTGGTAACTCCAAGTAATAAGAAGGTGCCCTTGTTATGTGCCCACAGCAAGGTCACCAGAGGCTGCCTTTCCAGCTACCAGGTGTGCTCTGTATCTGTTCCAGACCCTGCTGACTTCTACCTGAGATGAAAGTAGTTGATTTTAAATTGCGTTTTAAGGACATATTCCTACCCCAGCAGTCAGTTGTGAAGTTCTCTGAATCATAGGGCACTGTAGAAACCTTTTATAACTGCTCTTACCTGATGCTGTTGAAGAATTAAAGTTTATCAGTTAATCATAAAAAAAAGCAGCACAATGCTGAGTATCAGTCACACTCTATACATACGCATATTTCAGGTTTACGCAAAGGTTTTCTTATTATAAGCTGTATTTTACTTTTATGAGCAAAAATGTAAGCTGTCCGGAGACCCTGGGAGCTCAGGTTTCACAGTCCCTTCTTTCCTCATAGTTCCACCTTCAGGTAGATAGGTGGTGTCATTCATAAAATGGAACCAAGTCCTTCCCCCAGGGCCTTTCCAATATTTTTTCAGATGAATGCTTGGATTACATAAGTGTCATTTTATTTAACTGCATAATGGCTTTTTCACAGCTGGATTTTCCTAAAAGAAAAAGGTGTGTTCTCAATGGAAGAACAGTGGGAATGATTTGACACAGTAAAGAGTACGAGCATGAATTTATTTATCCTCACATTGCTAATGCTGTGTCATCCTCTAATCACTCAGCAGGTCAGTCAAATTTGACAGCTTAACATTAATAGTAATCAACTTTAACTCAAACTTGTTTGGGGGGGTGTTAATTTTTTTAAAATA